ACCATGCCTTGTATGATGGATGGACAGTCGGTGCACTCAGCAAGCGCCTTCTGGACATCTACCGTCAGGGCCGGTCCGCATCCTCGGTGCCCTACACGCAATTCATCCGGTATCTTCAACACGGTCGCCCGGACACCGTGGCGAGTATGCACTACTGGCGCGAGCAGTTGGAGGGCGAGGTGATGGCCAGCTGGCCACGACGAGTCTCAGACAAGCAACCACTGCCACAGGACGACTTTCATGCAACGATCCCACTTCCGCCGACGCAGATACATGGCCAGGTGACAATCTCGACCGTTCTTCGCGCCGCATGGGCGCTGGTCGTGGCCCAGTACTCGGGACACGGGGACATCGCCTTTGCAGCCACGGTTTCCGGCCGCAATGCCCCGGTTCGAGGCATATCGGATATCGCGGGCCCAACCATTACGACTGTGCCGATTCGTACACGAATCGACCACACAAGGACTGTGGCCGATTATCTTGATGCAATGCAGCGGCAAGCAACACATATGATTGACCACGAGCATACCGGTCTACAGGGGATCAAGGCATTGTTGCCCACATTGGCTAGCACGCTGGACACGGGCAGCTTGCTGGTCATCCAGCTGGCTGAAGAGAAGGATTCGCAAGGGCAATTAGACTTCCCCGGCCTGGAGACCATCCCCCTGCCGATCGAGCCCTTCAATGCACATGCGCTGACCCTCGAGTGCCAGCTTGGGGCACAGGAGCTCACCGTAGATGTGCACTACGATAAGCAGATCATGGCTTCGACTCAGGTCAAACGAGTGATCGACTACTTCGCCTGCCTGTTCCACCGACTGTGCAATCCGAGCACGCAATCACAGTCCCTAGCAGAGATTCTGGCCATCAATGACGCGGATCAGCAGCAGATCCTGCACTGGAATGCGGACGTTCCGCCCCGGCTGGAAAAATGCATCCACGAGATGGTACGCGAACAGGTGGAACGCTCACCCACAGCCATCGCTATCCACGCCTGGGATGGCGATATGACCTATCGCGAATTCTATGAGGCGGGTGCGCGCGTGGCCCACCAGCTCGTCTCCTTCGGGGTCGGGCCAGAAGGCATTGTGGGAGTTTGTATGGAGAAATCGAAATGGGGCGCCGTGGCGATGCTGGGGATCATGCAAGCCGGGGGAGCCATCATGCCCTTGGGCATATCACACCCCTTGGCCCGCATTGACACTATCCTCGACGCCTCGCGGGCACGCCTGATCATCGTCAGCCCTGCACAGGCCAAGCGACTGCAGGGGCTGACCAACCTCGCCAACATCCAGCTCGTCACCCTCGACCATGATCATTTCGATACTTTGCCACGGTGCCAACCAGCGCCGGAGATGGGATTGACGCCGTCCAACGCCTCGTGGGCTATCTTTACCTCGGGCAGTACAGGCGTGCCCAAGGGCGTAGTCATCGAGCACGGAACCATGTCGACGAGTTTAGACGAACAGGGACGCTGGCTGGGTCTCACGCCTGCGACGCGGTTCCTGCAGTTTGCTTCTTACACTTTCGACAATGTCATCACCGACACATTCGCTACGACGGCCTTTGGTGGCGTCGTCTGCATCCCCTCCGAGGAGGCCCGCATGAACCAGCTCACCGAGGTAATTGCAGATATGGAAGTCAACACAGCGATGCTGACCCCCACTGTTGCACGGCATGTGGCGCCCAGTCGCGTGCCAGCCCTGAAGACCCTGATTCTGACAGGCGAGCCTGTTCGGGCCGACGTCGTCAGCATCTGGCTCGGCCACGCCGATATCTACAACGCTTATGGGCCCACCGAAGGGTCTATGAGTACCTGTACTCGGCCCTACCCCAATGCCCACGAAGTCAGCAACATCGGCTTCCCCTTGGCGACCCGGTTATGGGTCACGCAGCCCATGCAAACCCATCTGCTGAGTCCTCTCGGCGCACCCGGCGAGCTCTGGATTGAAGGGCCCTTCTTGGCACGGGGATACCTTGGTGACCCCGTCCGCACTCAGGCCTCATTTATCGTCGATCCCGAGTTCACGCGGCGTCTGGGCCTCCACGGACGCCGGCTCTACCGTACGGGGGATCTTGTGCAACAAAACGAGGATGGAACTTTGATCCACCTCGGGCGAATAGACTCTCAGATCAAAATCCGGGGTCAGCGTGTCGAGCTCGGTGAGATTGAACATCAGATCCTGCACCATCTGCCCGGTGTGAGTACAGTGGCCGTGGAGCCGCTCACCGACGAGGACACGCAGCGAATCTTCCTGGTCGCCGCGGTGGAGTTTGCTGGCGACAGTGAATATCGGCGTGGCACAATCACCCCGACGGGACTGCTGGCGCCATCCCCGGCCCTAAGAAAGGCCTTCAGTAAGCTGTACGGCATCCTATCACAAACACTCCCTGTGTACATGGTTCCGGCCGTGTTCGTGCCCATTGCGGAGATGAGTCGCAACCTCTCCGGCAAACTGGACCGCAAGCTCCTCCGCATGATGCTGGCACGTTTGCAAGACAACGACGACAATGACAACGACAATCTGCGGCAGTATCGCGTGGGCGACGGTCCCAAGGTCGCCCCCTCCACCGAGATGGAGCGCCGACTACAGGCCCTGTGGGCTGATGGGCTCCATCTCCCGGTCGACGAAATCGGGGCCCATGACAACTTCTTCCACCTTGGCGGAGACTCCCTGGCCGCCATGCGCATGGTGGCCGCATCACGCTCTCGCTCTTTCAAGCTAAGCGTGGCGGACATCTTCAAACACCCTTCTCTGTCTGAGCTGGCTGAGGTCGTCAGCGCGCGTGTAGAGGCACGTTTAGAAGAAGAGAAGAAAGATGATGGGGTGGAAGAGGAGGAGGAAGAGGAAGAGGAAGGCGTGGTCCCATTTTCTTTAATAGACACCGATAACCCCGAAGCATTTATCCACGAAGTGGTCTCCCCCGTTTGCAACATCAGATGTGCGGACGAGGTCATTGATATCCTGCCCACCACCGATTTCCAAGCCCTCACGGTGGCAGGCGTGCTCACGACCCCCGCCGCGGCCAACTGTGCGCATTTCCTGCTCGACGGCCAGGGCCCCTGTGACGTGGAGCGGCTGCGCAAAAGCTGCTTCGACCTCATCCGCGCCCTGCCTATCCTCCGCACGGCCTACATCTTCGATCAAAGCCGCCTGCTGCAGGTGGTCAAGAGTGCCTATGAGCCGGACATCCCCATCTTCCACACGGAGCGTACGCTCGAAGCGAAGACGGCCGAGATCATCAACCACCAGCTGCTCCCAGCCCCCTGCTTGGGCGAACCCTTCACGCAGATGGCCATTGTCGAGGAGGCGCACAGCACGCGACACCGACTTCTCCTGCGCGTGACGCACGCTGAATACGATGCCGTGTCCATCAATGTGATCTGGGAGACCCTGCGCTGTCTGTTCGAGGGCACAATCCCGCCTCGATCCCCATCCTTCGCGAGCTTCTACTACCACCAGCAGCAATGCATCACCGCACAAACGTACGACTACTGGACCGACCTGTTGGCGGGCTCATCTATGCCCCAACTGGGCCGCTCCACCTCCGCCATCGGACAATATCCATCTACCGTGGCCCACCTCGCCCCACGGACGGTGACCCTCGCCAGCCCGCTGTCTGCGGGCGTCACCAGGCCGGTCCTGGTGAAGGCAGCATGGGCGATCACTTTGGCCCGTGTGGCCCAGAGCCAGGACGTGGTGTTCGCCGACACCGTCTCCACACGGGGCACCGTCGACGCCACCCGGATGAATGAAACGGGCTGCTGCGTCACGCTACTCCCCGTCCGCGTGCAGCTGTCCTCTCCTGCCCTCACAGCGCGCGAGCTACTGCAAACTGTGCGCGAGCAGCAGATTCAGAGCTTCGAGCACGGACACCTGGGCTTCCGAGACATCCTCCATGACTGCACCGACTGGGCGACCTCGACGAGGTTTACATCCGCACTGAACCACATCACCGAGCAGACGAACGGGACCGTTCGCATGAGCAGGCAGGAGTACACTATTTCCAGCTTCGATGCGCTGGACGCGACATGGACAGTTGACGTGGGGGTCACGGCCGTCAGTCGTGAGGACGGCGCGCTGGACCTACGTTTGGCCTACCGGGCTGACAGCATCACGCAGGAGATGGCATCGGAGTATGTGCGCATGCTCACCGAGACGCTCACGATTCTCGTGGACGAGCCATCTCGCACCATCAAGGAGATGTTATCGGCCCCTGTAGCCCGGTCCGGGAGGAAGGGGAAGAGATCATCGGCGCCAGTGGTGCAGATCACGGAGCGGATCTCGGGCGAGGATCCCCTGGTCATGGCGTCGTATCTACAGATCAAACAGCGGCCAGAGTGGGAAGTAGTTCTGCAGCGTCGTCGGGGGGTCGCCACGGGCAAGAGCAGGCCGGCAGCCTCCTTTGCACAGCGGGGCGGCGATCTCTTGGACGCGGTCTACTTAGCCTCTCTTCTGGGTCTGAGCGACCAGTTCGACTCCGCCCAGGCAATATTAGTGGGATCACGCCGTGAGGACGAAGCGGGTCTCGAGGAAGGCCTGCCCTCAACGAAAGCAAAGCGGCTGTCTCTCAGAACGATGTGGACAAGTGCCCGGAAGAGCTATGCTCGATGGTTCACGGCGGGTTCGCGGCAAAGAGGCCAGACCTCACTGGCTGTTTAATATCTATGTCGGTTGATGTCTTATATGTCCAGGTTCTATGTATATATGGTACTCTTCATTAGTTATATGTATGTAATTTCTTCGCTGTAATGACTTGAATTCTCGTTGCCCGTTCTCCTTTGCCCTAACTTTATACGCGTTTCCCACGCAATGCCTCTGTAGCCCTCACACGCTCTGCATTATTTTAAATTATATCATGCCTCGACTCTCGGCTCGGAAGACAGTGGATCAGGCCACCTAGCCTGCTTTGATTTCGGCTGAACACGAAGGGGGAACATAAAAGGAGGCCGCTGACCCTCTGCACCGCCGGCGCCCTGGCATAGAATACGTCCGCCTGACACATTCCCTCCACTCTCCATTAAATCCCTGCCACATCTGTGAAGCTGCATCATGCCTCGAATCTCCTACCACGGGCTGATCACGGGTGCCGAGCAAGACCTCCAGTCGCTAACGCAAGCAGCTCTCGTGGATGGCTTTTTTAGTCTGGATCTCGACTGTCCAGAGGGCGTGAGGCTGCGTGAGGACATTCGCTTTCTTGAGAAATTCTCTGAGAACGTCTTCGACATCCCCACTCCCGTCAAGGAGCGCTTTGATTTCAAGACACTAGGACGGTTTCGAACCACGGGGTAAGCCAAACGATATCAACATCCCTGGACCCCCAGCCCAACTCGACTTAGATGGCCGTCCACTGACCAGCAGTCCGTGTGGCCCTGCAGATATAAGCCCTTGGGCATTGAGGAAGGCGCGAAGGCCGGAGAGCCCGACGGATTCGAGATGTTTATGGTATTCTGCCTGGGCGCTGTGTCCTGCCATTCCCTACCCTACCCTGTTTCCCTTTCTACCTCAGACGAGGCTAACCCATTCTCTATATTTCAGTTGCCCCAAAATGAGTTTCTCCTGCCCAGTTTCCGTTCCGGTCTCCAGTCCCCCGACCTGGTTTTCACTCACCGGGAGGCTCTCACGCGCTGCATGGAGCACTACGAGCAAGCAGCGCAGCTCATCCTACGGCGCGTCAGCGAAGTGCTGGATCTTGGCGACGCGCTTCTGGCGGCCCATCAGCCCTCGGAGCCCTCGGTCACAAACCTGGGCTTCTTGAAGTATCCGCCGCAGCCGCCCGGGTCGCGCAACTTTGGACACATCGCGCACACGGACGTGGGCAGCCTGACACTACTCTCGGCCACCGCGCGGGGGCTGCAGGTCATCGATGTCGCGCGGCAGGACTGGGAGTTTGTGGAGCCAGATCCGGCGCAGCTCTTCGTCCAGTTCGGCGACTGCCTGAAGTTCCTCTCGCGGGGGCGCATCATCCCCTCCCTGCACCGCGTCGTGCCCAGCGACACCGACGCCCAGGCGACCAAATACACCCTGGCGTACTTTGTGCGTCCGAACGAGCAGGCCCAGATCACCGCCGACGATGGGACTGTCTGGAGCTACGAGAATTATCATTGTCGCAAGTTCGATGCCTTTGCGCGCCCGCTCAGCCATGTCCGGCCTGAGGGCGAGCACGACATGATCTCCATTCGCCAGGCGCCGCAGCGCGAGGCTCCGGTGGCCGCGGCTTGAGAGGGACGTTGATGGGTCTGGAGGTTTGATGTCCCAGTTCGGCTGGAGTATTCATGATAGTCTCGTGCCTTTGTATCTCATAGTATATTCGCCCCGTCGGGGATCCAGATCTTTGAACTGATTATGGTTATTGGATTTGTCTGTCTGTCTTAGCTACCTAAAAAATACAGAGCATTGTATCATTATAAATCCGCCCTGTACGCTCCATGGCGGGCACTCTATACACTCACACACTATTCTTAAAACCGCCTTGGACCCACTCGTATAGCCTGCTGCTGTGAGCTCGACTCCGGCCAGGCTCACAACTGGATGGCCTGCTGTTTAATGATCTCTCGGCGAGTGGGCTGACCTCAATAGTAGTGACGGGTCTCTACTGGCCCGATGGTCTTTAGCGTTGTGGCTCTGGCAGCTGCTATATATGAAGGCTGACATCCATAAGCAGCCTCTCTTTACCTCAATTCCCCCCTTTTCCACCTCCGAACATCTTTTCTTGGTGTTTATTCCTCGGGCTCTCGTCATGATTAAAGGTCTCTTGAACCTTCCACTCCTTATACAAGGCAGTCTGGCGGTGATCGTCATCTTGCTACTCCTCGTTCTTGCCAACAGGCTGACTACGTGGGAGTACATCGTTCCCAAGGAGGTGCAATGGATCGACCGACCCCCAGAGAGCTTCGGCTATATGCGTGCAAAGGCGCGATCCTTTTTCCTGATGAAACAGAATATCATGCAAGCCTATCTGGAGGTACGTTTCTCCTTTGGCCCCCCTACCCTGCATACACGCACAAGTGACAAGTGATTGATCCCCGTTCCTCGCCAGTGCAACAAAAAAGGCCGCGCTGCCGCGCTCGCCATCGCCTTCGGTCGACCCCAAATAATCCTCCCACCCAAATACATCCGGTGGATCATCGACCAGCCGGAATCCGTGCTAAGCATGGATCCGATCCACGACGAATTCCACGCCTTCGTGCAGGACGGGTTGGTCGGCGACCACTCGGTGCAGGAGGTGCTGCGCAAGGAACTAACGCACAACCTGGGGCGGCTGACGGCCGACATCAACGACGAGATTGTGGACGCGCTGCATGCCGTGTGGGGCGATTCGCCCGAGTGGCGCACGATTCCTCTCAAGGACAGTACGCGCACCATCATTGCGCGAATTACCAATAGGTTGTTCGTCGGGAAGGAACTTTGTACGCAACCCTTCCATTTATGCTACCAATGCAAGTATTAGTCGTGCACTAACGGGGAAGATGGGGAGGCGCGTAGGTCGCAACGAGCAGTACATCCGTGACGCCGTCGGGTTAGGGCTGGCGGTCATGCCCGAGACCGTGTTCCAGGACTTGCTGCCCCGGCCGCTGAAGGGCCCTGTCTCCGCGATTGTCAAGTGGATTAATCGTTTTTACATGGCCGGCTTCAACCGCCACCTGCAGTCCGTGGTGCGACAGCGGATTCACGACGTGAAGCGGATAAAAGAGCAGCCCGAGCACGCATCTGCGGCGGACGAGCTCCCGAACGAGTTCCTGACGTGGATTGTGCAGCGCGCCGTCCGACGCGGCGAGCCCATGGCCGGATTAGAGCAGCGGACAATCGCGCGCGTGGGCATGGCGAACCTGGCGTCGATCGAGACGACAACCAACACGATGAGCAAGTGCCTGGCGGACCTGACGACACTGGGCGAGGCGCAGGGGTACCGGGCTCTGGTGACGGCGGAGGCGCGGACGGTGCTGCGCGAGTGCCAGCAGCGGCCGGAGAAGAAGGACATCGACAAGCTGGGGTGCATCGAGAACGCGCTCAAGGAGAGCCTGCGGCTGGCGGTCGTCTTTCCGGGGCTCATCCGCCAGGTCACCAGCCCCACGGGGGCGACGCTGGCCGCCGACAAGGAGGCCGGGGGCCTGCGTCTGCCGCACGGGGCGCGCATCAGCGTCGCGGCCTACGCCATCCACCGCGACGACAGCCTGTGGCCCGAGGCCACCACCTACAATCCGTCTCGTTACGAGGTCGAGCATGCCGCGGCGCCGCGCGTACCCATGTCCCGCGCCTCGGAGCGCTTTCTCTCCTTCGGCATGGGGAAGCGCGCATGCCCTGGCCGCTTCTTCGTCACCGATGAGCTGAAGCTGCTGTTCGCTCATATTTTCACCAAGTATGAGATCAAGGTCATCCCGCCCCCGCCTACCACGGCGGGCCTGTTCACCGAGTTGACGCTGCGAGGGCCGCAGGAGCAGTTGATGATTCGTCGGCGGACTGAGGAGGAGATGAACACGGCGTGATTATGGGACGGAGTTGATGTTTAATCGGGTTCAAGACAGTCTGGCTCACTGGTTCACTTGGTGGGACGTACCATTTCCTTTCTCGCTGTAGGGTTATATCGGTCACGGGATCCGTTGGGGAGCGATATTCATGTATTTATCCACCTTTTTCGATGCCATCATTCGCATTATGATCTGATTCTCGTGTCTAATTTAGCCTTGGCTTTAGGAGAGCTATTTGCAGTTACAGACAGCAATAATACCCTGTCATCCGCGGTGGCTGGAGAAGCAATGAAAGTGGCTGTTCGCATGCGGGCGAACCGCGGACTAGGCAAATGGTCCATTCTCCGTCCCAACGTCTGGGAGTAGTTCACACATACAGTAATATGCAACAATGGTTAGGATGATGAGACGTTTGCATTTCGGTCACGCTGATGTTTGTACAACAATATTGACGCGCTCAGCTTCGGGTCTAGGATCATACTTACACATCTACTCACTCAGAAGTCATTCGTTCATCAGACACGGTTGACAATGAACCTCCTGTTCGCATCAGCAAATCCGGGGGTCTTCCTTAGTTGCAGTGCTAAGTTTACTAATACCACAACGTACAGATTCGTCTGAACGGACTCTCATTTCCTGGTGGGTATATAATCAAAAGGTGGCTGACAAGCTTGGACTCCGTCCACCCCTCACACCAAATCCTTCAGTTTGAACTTCAGCGCCTTCCCGCTGTGGCTTTTCGGGATCGCCTCCAAGAACCGAATGTTCTCGCGGAGCCAGAACGGCTCACTCAGAGTAGTCTGGATATGGGCCGCCAGCGCCTGGCGGAGAGTCGCTTCGTCCATCTGGGCGTCGACCTGGCGCGAGCGCACCACGAAAGCAAATGGACGCTCGCCCGTCGCGTCATCTTGGACTCCAATCACCGCGGCCTCGTCCACAGCTGGGTGGTTCAAGAGCTGCGCTTCAATCTCGACCGGCGCCACTTGGATGCCCTATGATGCGTGCCTACGTTAGCGACGCTGCATGTGACGGCAAGGAAAATAAACGACACGAACCTTGACCTTCATGATATCCTTCTTGCGATCCACGATGAACAGATGCTCCTCGCCGTCTGCGCCGCGCCGCATGCACGCCACATCGCCCGTGACCAGCCAGCCGTCCTGGTCGAAGGCATAGGAGTCCGCCTCGTTCTCCCCAAGGTAACCCTTCATGACGCTGGGGGATCGCACGTAGAGATCGCCGGCAACGTCGTAGTCGTGGATCTCCACCCCATTCGCATCGAGCAGTCGCACCTTCACCTGGGGCAACAGGCTCCCCACCGAGCCGGGGAAGATGCTATGTTGGCTGGTGTACGAGACAATCACCGCCGCTTCGGTCAATCCTATCGTTATCACGCCTTGTCAGATGTTTGTCACATCAGTTCAATCCATTGCGGTTGACCTACCATAACCAGGGAGGAGATCCCAGTCGGGACGCACCCGTTTCATGGCGCCCATCATGTCGGCACTCAAGGGCGCGGATCCACAGACCACCGTCTGCACGGACGACAGATCGGCCAGCTTGAATAAGATAGGATTATTCACCAACGCCGCCACAATCGCGGGAACCTAGCAGGAGCCGCCCGCATCAGTATGCACACGCATGTCCATATTATTGCCACAGAGGAGATTCTCACCAAATACAACCGCTCGATGCGGTATTGTTGAATCGACCGTAGCGCCGCCGGCATGTCGAAGCGGGCGTGCAGGATCGTCGTATCGCGCCGACACATCAACGTATGCAGTACGATCAAGCCATAGGCGTGACTCAACGGGAGGATGCCCAGAGTGGTCTGGCTCTTGGGTCCGGTCGCATATGAGTCCAGAGTAACCGCCTGGAGGGCATTGACGATGACGTTGGCGTGGGTGATTTGCGCCAGTTTCTGCGCACGATGTCAGTCAGAGCCTTCGATTTCTCACCTGAGGCTCGTGCAGGACATTGGTTCTCTCACCTGGTACCCGGAAGTGCCGCTGGTCGGGCAGAGATATGCGACCCGGTCGCGGGACTCCCCTGGCTGGAGAAGGATGCTCGCCACGGCGGGCAGATGCTCTCCCTCGGCGATCAGCTCGGAGACGGTGGCCCGGGTCGCCGGCGTGCTGGCATCGTCGTCGGGCAATTCGAGCAGAAACAACCGGGCAGGATCTTCGTGCAAGGCGGCAAACACGGCCTCGCAGAGCGGTTGCAAGGGACGGCAGGTGAAAAGGGTGTGGCAGTTAGCTTTGCGCATCAGGGTCTGGATCTCACTGGCCGACGAGGTCGGGTGCATCAGGAGACATGTGCCGCCGATGCGGTGAATCGCCCAGGACAGAGGCACGAAATCCATCTGAAGCGACCGCCTCTCCGTTAGCTACAGTGCTGAACAGAACAGGAGAGCCAAGTCATGTCTGGCCTACCGCGTTGAGGGCCAAGATGCCCACGACTTTCGTTTCAGGCGGCCCCTCGGTCGCCTGCCATCCCAGTTTCTGGGCGAGGCTTCGCGCCAGCATCGTAACGCGATAGTCGAGATCCTGCACACGGTACGACTGGCCGGTCTCGGCACACACCAGCAGCGGCTTTTCCTCGAAGCCATCGCTGACTCCTTCCAGGACGAAGTCGCCGACCAGCTGGGTCTCGGAGAAGGGCACGGCCAGGTCACGGCACCACGGCGCAGAGGCGAAGACCATCTTGTGAGTTTGAACTCTGAGGATAAAAGAGGGGATTGGTGCAGTTTGGAGGCAGAAGACTGACCGACTTTTGATCGAGAACAGTCGGGGAGGGTCGATTCAAGCAAGCTGAAAAGGGATGACTCGATGTACTTATAGACATGTTTCTTTCTATGTAAACTACAGGGAGATCCTACGTCCTCAACCTCAACCATTTACTCTGAACCGTGTTTATAGCTTACCCCTCATACACAAGATCTACCTTTCTTATGTACAGGTGTGTTGCGAAGTCGAAAGTTCACGTTGCAACTTGGACAGTCTTACGGTGTGGTCTAGCCCGTTAGGGCACGACATCCAACCCAGAGGACGTAGCCCTAACCTCCGCTTCATGGATTTACACACGATGGGGAGAGTTGAAACGCGACAACGCGCCACAATCCAATCTAGCCGATATATATTGTCCTGCTGCCGACGACTACACATCGCACATTTGCCACAGCTGTCATCTCAGTCGGACACTAGCGGACAATGTCTCAAAAGGACATCAGGGTACTTGGATAGGCGTCCCACCTTCGTGGGTCATGCACGTCGATCCTTTTTGTGTTTCTTTCTTATTTTCAGCTTTTTTGAGTTCAGTTTGATTGGGGCCAGAAAGAGTGGGGGCTCGACGAACGCCAAGTCCGACGGTTGCCATGAAGAGGGATCGCGCGCTAACCAAATGCCAGCAGGAATGCTAGTGCTGACAGCCAGATACGAGTCAACGAATTGATTCAACCCCTACTTCCCCACCGTAAGCCGGACGCGACATAAGGTGAGTTAGGCTCTTAACACCGGGGCTTCACTGACCCGTGGTCAATCTAGGCCATTTGCAGTGCATTGAAGCGATTATCATCCCGAACACTCTCCACACTCGTGGGATGATTTTCCGGTCCCATTTGTGCTCTTCTCTCGCGCAGCCTTGCAAAGTAGGAACGGACAAGAAAGAGAGGGGGAGATGTTTTATGGCCAATGAGATGGCAGCAGTAACAGCAGCAGCAGCAGCAATGGAGAAGAAATACTCACAACACCTCGTCTTGCTCCTTCCCGCACACAGGAAGGAACAGTGGACATGGGGGACCGAAGCAGAAGAAGGAAAGGAAGGAAAGTGAGTCCCCCTATTTCTTTTGCCCTGCAACAATGGGGAACACGTGCAGCTATCACAGTCACATTCTAGTGAACGTCTAGCATTCCACAGGTGCTGTCAAACGAGCTTATGTGAACTGTGCTCACCACGTTGTAGGCTATCGCGATACCTGCGTCGCTGAATCAGCAGCAACGTGGCGCGCTGCCAAGCACTGGCTCCTGCGGGTACGACATATATATGTCCTACACTATAACGGCGGAGGACTCAGGCCACTGTGGAAACCCCTCCCGCGTGGCATCCCAGATCCAAATGGCTCCGGACCTCCTCTGTTTGCCATAGTAACAGGACATATACCATCAACACGAGGGCCTTATTTCTATCTAATGCAGAATCCTGCACGGAGGATTCCCTCTTGTGGCTTCCTTCCCCCTCCCTCCCCTCCTTTCCCCTCTTTTCCCCTCCTTCATCCTCGCTCCCTCTTTCCTTCCGCTCACGGCCACCGGATTATTAATACTACCATATGGTGAATATGATGCTGACAAGGGAGATCAGACCGGGGTAAAGACAAACGAAGCCAGCCTTGTTCGGCTTGGTATCTGCAGATGCAGGGGGACGGGACAGCTTCCTGGGTCCGTGCGCCTGAAAGAAGAAGAGAAGACGCAGAAGAAGAATAAGAATAAGCTGCATAGTGCCTGGTGATTCCTGAGGCTTATGAGGCTCAGTTTCCTGCAGAGACGTTTTGCACAAGTGCTGAGCCTCCGGATATGTCCGCGTCAGCAGTAGAAGTGCGCATTCCTGGTGTGGTCTAGCATGGCTTGGTGTACTAACTGTCGGACATGAAAAGAGGCCAATAATGGTGCTTCAATGTCTCGATCACATAGCGACCTAGTCGCCAAGGACTGAATACCAAAGGCAGGGATAATAAAAATCCCCAGATCCCAGACATGGTGTTTTTATTTAGTCAAGGCTCGAGCAAGTCGAGCCAGCTGTGAGAATTGATCTAAATTTTAACTCTGCGCTCTCTGATTAGGGTTTGTGTGGTTCTGCAGTGTTCCGCGAGACGTATCACGCATCGCATCCCTTTTCCTTCTTATCTTTTCCCATACTGTAGGGCCAACGAGACAATAATGCATCTCGTGGAGGGCTCGCGTGCGACGCCAACCACGCCCCAGCAGGACTGTCATGATCTCGTGTTGATGGACCGGCTCTGCGTAGACTTCCGCGAGAAACTCCTAGATGCGCTGGCCACCTCCTCCTGCTCCAGTACCTTTGTTGAGGCGAGAAATATCGCCAAGGAAAAGCTACTCGACATTCTACACTGCATCGGCTCCCTATCGGCCTCGGATAAGGCGAAAGAAAAGCTTGTCGCCGCAGAGGAACTAGGAGATGCGCTGACCCCAAAGCGAACCAGTCTGGGGGATCATCTCCCGTTTAATACCCCTGCAGGAGATCTGGAGGTCGGGATTGGGGTTCATGGAGCATCGTCGCCGGCCGACTTTTTTCAACACTTCCACGATATCAATGCCGGGTCGCTGGACCTGGCGCTTTCCACAACATCCACCCCGTCGGGCGCGACGGGGGACTGGCCGGCTCTGTCCCCCGTTGTTCTACTCGCGGAGGATCTGGCGATGCTGCGGCAGAGCGGGGACCTGGATCCATGCACGGGGATGGAGTCTGGGGGGAGCGATGAGATGCAGTGGTGGTCCTCGCAAGGGGGTCTCAATGATACGCCCGCTCGACTGAGTCCCAAGACACCGACTAGTGTGCCTCTCTGGCCAGGGGTGCAGGGTCAAGACCCCAATGAGGAGCTGGCCCCGGCGGTTTTAGACTTTGTGGACTTGGATCTACTGGTTGAACAAGGCGAGATGTTTGCCCTAACTCACGGTGGTCATGCGCTTAGACAGGCCACGAATTCGAAGCAGAATGCAGCGCGGCCGGGGTCAGCAACGTTAGTAGGCAGCAATGATGCCCGGCCGGGGACGGTGCGAGAGGACACCCCTATCACCCCAGCCATCGCTCATTCACCGGCACCCGATAGAGGTGTTAGACACAGCTCGCTTTCGCAACAACAACAACAACAACAACAGGGGATCCCCTCACCATCACCCTCCCCAGCAAGACCAAGACCCACGCCACAGCCAGTCACCCCCGCAGCGCACGCCCAGGATTCGCCGGCCTGCGAGAACAGGCGCAGTTGTGCCATTTCCCCAGTGCTCCCGGCGTCGTCCCCCCCTCCCCAGCCCAGGAATGTGGCTGAGAAGGGGGGAGGGGATGCTCTAGTGGTGGTGCAACCCTGCAGTGAGGCTGAGGAAGCAGGGGGGCAGCCTATGGAGATCGACTACGCCGCAGCGCTGCCATCGCTAACGGGGGTATATTGCGTGCCAGACCATCTGCCGACGGCGGATCAGGTCTACGCCGTGTTCAGCCAACAGCTCCCCAACAGCAAGCGGCAGGTGGCTGAGCTCTTTACCCGCCTGTTCTACGCCATTGGAAGTCCGGATGCGCTGATTCAGTTACGCCATGCCCTTCATCTGGCGCGCAAGTCCTCTGTCCTCCCAGTGGCCACGGCTGGCGGCCCCCGGAATGACCTGGCCACGACGGTGCAAGCCCTCGACCAACTCGACTCCATCACCACCCTATCCCATATCCTCCGGCGCTATTACTTGGTCCGTCTCCTCACCCACCGTACCCGATTGGAGCAGGATCACATCGCCGCCAAACTTGCCTGTCGAGGGTCCAAGCGCATGCTAAAGTACGACTGCGCTCGCCTACAACTGATCCGCGACGGGGGCGATGGCGATGCAGTCCGCGCAGCATCGACCGCCGGGGGACGACGGCCCACAAGCAAGCCACGCCCCAAGCACCGGTCCAAGACGCAGGCTCTGACCGATCTGATGCAGATGCTGTACCCGGGCCTGACGCCCATCCCAGCTGAATCAAGTAACCGCTCGACCAACGATTGCGTGTACACGCGAAAATTAACCCGGCTGCGCAACCGCCTCTCGTGCGCACGCAACTGGTATCCCTTCGAGCACACCTTCCCGGGAGGGATTCTGGCCCTGATCCCTTGCGCCGGGCGGTACTCCATCAGTATTGACCAGTAAGTTCCATCCACGAGATCAAGGGAGGAACCCGGAGGTCAATTGACAGGAAACTGACTTCGAGATTCTCGCGCAACCACAGAGTGGAAAAGCTGCCCAGCGATACCATGCGGATCTTCTTGGCCTACCTACAAGAACATCGCGGGACGTACCTGCGAAGCCTGAGCCAGGCGCTGTCCAAAGACGTGTTCGACGTGCTAGAGGGCGCCGACCTGTCGCAGACTTTCGCGTTTGAGACAGTCGACGAAGGTGGCCTCGGGGACTACTTATATGACACTGAGGACCTGCTGCAACTGTGCAAGCCGGCGGTGTAGCCCGCTAGCAACAACTTATATTCCTAATCAAGGCCATTGCATGCCACCGGCTTGTGGGTACTGCCTGGTGGGGAGGCACGTATGCCGTTCTGTCTGGTGTCACAATCACATACCCAGTGAATATGTCTATGTCTATGTCTATGTTTTGCCATACGAGTTCATTCCCCATGTTTCCCCCTTTTTGATTCCCTTCCGTTTTGTCAATTCGGGGGGTACTTATCTCTCTCCCTCTCTCCCTCTCTCTCTTTTCTTTTTCTTGTTTTGAATAGCGAACCCTGACGTACACGACGTTTGAAGAGTGCTGCTTTGCCTCATTGTACATTCCAAAACATGCACTGCACAAATCTCTACCTCATCTTGTAACTATGAGCTGAATAAAACCACGAACGAGAAATTTTATTCTTTCAACAATGGAATAATCTAGCAAGTAAATAATGGGACCATTCAGCAAGTAGACGGACTCAATCTTTTCTTTTACTATGATATTCTATACAAACAACAAGCAAGACATCCGGTCTCCTTACGAGTCGCACAATACAGCACAGGTATTTCATCTTCATCATATGTAGCATTATTCAGCATCAAAAGCGATTCGATTACCATCACATAAGGCTTAGTCCCAATCTAATACACAATCCCCGTCCGCAGCTGCTGATACGCCAGGGCCGTCATGTCCTGATACTGGGAGGGTCGCTCCGGGGTGACGAAGGGCAACAACGGACCGACGGACATATCGCGGCGGGCCTTGAGAAAGAATGCGATGGATCTTCGCGCGGGCAGAATAGTCTCGTCGCTGCCGGTGGAGGCCTTCTCGCCGCGCGGCGCGGTGACCTGGTGCAAGCCAGCATGGAGGACGCCGTTGGTCCAGCGCTCGAGGGTGTCGCCGATGTTGACGACGAACTCGGTGGGATCCTCGCGCGGCACCGGCACAAACTCGGCCGAGTTCGCCTCGTTCTGGATCTCGAGGCCGCCGCGGTCGTCCTGGGCCAGCAGCGTGATGATGCCGAAGTCGGTGTGCGGCCAGATGCGGCTTGTTTTGCCCGCCTCAAGCGTGCGCCGCGCGATGGCCGGATAGTGATTCAGGCGCAGCTCGCTGGCGTGGCCCTGGCATCGCTCTACAAACGCGCCCCGTCGGATCCCCAGCCCCAGCTCCAACGCCTCCATCAGCTCCAGCGTGATCGCCTGGCTGCGGTCAAAGTACGACTCCAGCCAAGGTCGAAACCCGGGAAGCCGCTCGTCATCCGGCCACTGGTTCGGGTATTCCTGGTCCTCTGCTGGGCCGGTGTCGAAGTGTTCCTATGCACAGGAAACAGAATCAGCATCTCTCGGGTCTCTGGCTCTAGGAAGGGTGGATAGGGTAGACTTCTGTCTCACCTTGGCATCTTGCAGGTCGTGCTGGTCCTTCTTCGAGAGATTTGTCTTCCCGCCGGGGTTCAGGAGGCCCGTCTTTTCGGCTCCAACGCGACTCCATCCTCGTTGCGGTTTGGGACCTTCTTTGTTCTGGATGGGGTCTTTGTATGAATCAGGCAATTCAAAGAAATCCTTGTTCTGAAGGAGAATTCCGCAGTCAACGCGAGGTTCAATCGAAGCCAACGGAATTCGAGGCAGAGAAGCATACCAATTGGAACAAATGCGAGGTTTCCTCCCGGGTGAAGCCGTGATTGATGAGCTTGATAAATCCGAAGCGCTTGAATCCCTTCGTGAGAGCAGAGGCGAATTCGCGACGCTCGGCGTCCGAGCCGCTGTGGAACTTGGCGAAGTCAAGGGTTGGAATCGCCATTGCGGAAGGGGACAGAGGAGATGGAGAGTAGATGAGGCCAGTGTGGGTGATTCTCGGTGGTTCATGGGTGGACTTTCCAGAATTTATAGATAGTCGGGGCAAGCAACGCCGCCGCGGTGTCAGAGAGAGCGAGAAGCCCTAAAAGGATCGGCCCCTCATCGCAACCCCGACATCACCTCACAATCATCTTACCACCTGCCCGACGGGTAAGATTCTTCCGATATCATCATACCTGTCAGAATACTTTAGAATATTTTGAAGCTCGGCATAACTAGAAAGCAAAGCTAGAAGCGCCAGGCTGATTGACCTGGTCTTACACACCGCCCTTTCCATCCGCTTCATGTAACTGTATTCCAGTTCCCCCCCCCTCCGACTCCCCTCCTCCCCTCCCCTTCTACCTCTCCCTTTCGCCAATTCCCGAATCAAGCACGAGTTGGCGCACCAGGGCCGATGAGTAAGGGAGACGGTCACGCCATGGAACAATGTCGAATTCAAGTGGAGGACGTGTTCGGGCCTCAAGTGTCCGGGTGCTACAACGATTTTGACTTCACCCTGCTGTTCGAAGAAAGTGTGCTTTATATGCCTGCCCTGCTGGTCGCAACTGTCTGCGGCTGCTGGCGACTCTGGGAGCTTCGATCCGCACCCAAAGTGCTCAGAGTTCGAGGAGCGCGGTGGTATTTCAAGCAAGTGAGTGCTCTGTCAGGGTTTTCCCCTTTATCGCTCGAGAGACGGTCTAGCTAAATGATCCTTGTCTTATAGCTCGGTTGGCTCGCCTGGACCTTGCTTGAACTAACACATTTAGTGCTCTCGTTGGTGCTCAAGACGTCTACCACCCGGTTGTCCAATGCAGCTATCGCAATTGGCTTCGCCATATCGCCCATCTTCGCCCTCGTCTCCCACTGGGAGCATACCCGCTCACTGCGCCCGTCTACGGTCCTGAATGTATACCTGCTGGGAACCATTCCCCTGGACGCGGCGCGAGCGCGCACACTGTCCCACATGCCGGGGAATGCAGTCATTGCGAGCATCTTCATCGCGCTCGTGGTCTGCAAATTCGTACTGCTGGTACTGGAAGCTACCGGGAAGGAAAGTCTCCTGGCGCGATCGTTGCCGCCGGAGCAGACTGCCGGTATTTTCGACCGAAGTGCCTTCTGGTGGTTCAATCCCCTCCTGTTGGCGGGCTACAAGCGATCGTTGACACCCGGGGATCTGTTGGCGGTCGACGAGGATATCAGTTTGGAACGGTCGAAGGAGGAGATCCGTCAGAAGTGGAAGCATGGTAAAGAAGCCCTTCCTGGCACTTTCAGTGTCGCGCCAATCGCACCCAGACTGACCCCATCCAATTCTCTTGTGTAGCAGCGAAAGAGCAACCCCGAAGCCTTCTCAAAGTGCTCCTGGCCGTGTACAAGCGGCCACTTCTCGCCAATATCCTGCCGCGGCTGTGTCTGACAGGCGTCAACTATGCTCAGCCTTTCCTCGTCAGTCGGGTAACGAGCTTTCTAGGACAGTCCACAACTTCTACGAGTAAGGAGGTCGGGTACGGCTTGATCGCGGCCTACGGAATTGTCTACGTAGGTATCGCAGTAAGTGGGTTGACAAGCCATCTTCTTCTGTTGTTTGCCTACTTTGCTCATGGAAACATTCGCTCTGCAGGTCATGACAGCGATGTTTCATCATCGATCCTATCGCACGGTCGTGATGGTGCGCGGCGGCTTGATTCTTCTGATTTATGATCATACCCTGAGCTTAAATATTTCGGCACCTTCCAAGGGTGATTCGTTAACTTTGATTAATGCTGACATCGAGCGCATTGGGGCGGGGCTTCGAAGCTTCCATGAAACGTGGGCAAGCTTGCTCGAGATCGGTCTGTCTTTGTGGTTACTGGATATCCAAATTGGCGTATCAACCGTGGCTGCTGCCGCGGTAGTCCTAGGTATATAGCATCTGCGTTTGATGCCTTCTCCATTCCTACTTCCCCTGTCCCTTCTCTCTGGAGCATTCGGGACAGAATAACGGCTAACCATGATGACTGACTGCACAGCGTGCCTCCTCATCAGCGGCAAAGTCAGCGGGTATATGGGTGAGCGCCAGAAGCTATGGCTTGAGGCGATGCAAACCCGGATCACTACGACCGTGGCAGCTATCAACTCCATCAAAGGGATCAAAGCAACCGGTACAACCGATATCCTCCAGTCCGTGATCACTCAACTGCGGACGTATGAGATCAAAAGCTCTATCAAATTCCGCGAAGTGCTAGTCATGCTGGTGACGTTATGTAGGTGCTAGAACCCTCACGGCCTATCTCTACCACTTTGAGGTCTGCTTCTAAGCTTGGTTTCCTAGCGTATCTGGCGACTACCATGGCACCACCGTTTTCTTTTGGCACCTACAGCATTCTCGCCATGTTACGAAATACCACCCCCCTGACCGCTGCCACGGCATACACCTCCCTGACCCTTCTTTCTCTTCTGTGCCAGGCCGTGGCCAGCTGCATCGACGCCCTGATGGGACTGGTCCAGGCATTGACCAGTCTGGAACGGATCCGGGCGTATCTGGCGTTGGAGGCCGGCATTCCGCTGCCCGACGACAGCTGTGGCACGACCGATTCACATATTAGTGAACCGTCGCCCGCGGAATCCACGCGCTCGTCGGAGAGTGACAATGAGAAGGCCATGATGAGAGACACCGTATCAGGGAAAACTGACCCAAATGCGATGATTCAGTTACGCAACTGTTCGGCGAGCTGGGAGCGATTCTCCAAGCCGGTGATTCAGAATGTGGATGCCACCATCCCACGGGGTTCGTTTGTGATGGTGATCGGGCCAATCGCATCGGGCAAGTCGAGCCTGTTAAACACGATTCTCGGCGAAACCCCCCATAGAACGGGCACGGTCGTCGTCCATGACGGGGAAGTGGCGTTCTGCGGCCAGACCCCGTGGTTGGTGAACACGACCATCCAGAACAATATTCTCGGGCAGACTCCGCTCGACCACCAGTGGTACGACACCGTCGTCAGGGCTTGCATGTTAGATCGGGACTTCACGCAACTCCCCGGGGGGGACAACGCAACGATTGGCAGCAAAGGAATCATGTTGAGTGGGGGTCAGAAAGGCCGTCTGGTACATCCACCCGGAGTTTCATTATATACTTGTATACTTGGTTCTGATCTCGTGGCAGGCATTGGCACGAGCACTTTATGCGAGAAAACCGCTGGTCATTCTGGACGACGTGTTTGCCGGTTTGGACGCCAAAACCGAGCAACATGTCTTTGCGGCGCTCTTTGGACCCGAAGGTCTGTTGCGACAGGAGGGGACGACGACGGTCCTGGCCACGAACTCCAGTAGGTAGCGGTGCGAATTGGGCCCATAAGGTTCCTACCGGCTGACAGTTCTCTGCTAGTCCGCTACATCTCTCTCTCCGATTATATCCTTGTGTTAGGGCCAGGCGGCACAGTCGTCGAGCAAGGCGTCTATTCGGAGCTGGTTCACTCGGGAGGATATCTGGCGAGCCTGACTCCGAAAGAGGGACGCAATGAACAGGTTCATCGCCATACTGACAATCAGGATCCTGCACTCACTGACACGGCTCTCCGCAATGCGAACTTGAATGCTGACAACCTGCCCGCCAGTGACCTGGCCATTTACAGGTTCTACGTGGATCAGACGGGGCGCGTTTCATTCTGTGTCTTCTTTGTCCTGTGCTCTGGCTTCGTAGTTGGCTTGCTGTTCTCCCGTAAGTGGTCGTATAACCTCTTTCTCTCTCCTTTCCTGTACTCATACTCACTGCAAGACAAATGCCTGCAGAAGTCTGGATCAAGTTCTGGGTCGAAGCCAACGCTAGGAAAGCCAACGACCGACTAGGGTATTATCTTGGATTATACGCACTGTGGTCGATCTTGGCCATCTTACTCTTCCTGGGTGCATGCTTGTAAGTTCTTCGCAATGCAAAGGCCTCGAATTCCATGGAGACGAACATTGATATCAATTGAACCGCAGCCAACTTATGCTCGTCATGGTTCCGAAAACCGCTAAAGGATTCCACGACCGTCTCCTTAAAACAGTGCTCAGGTTGAGTTCGACTTGTTCAGTCAGCGTCATAGGAGAGCAAGGTGGCTGATTTGTCCCTCTAGGGCCCCATTGGGATTTTTCTCAGTCACCGACAGCGGAGAGATCACCAATCGATTCAGCCAAGATCTCGAACTGGTGGACATGGAGCTCCCGCGATCACTCATCGGCACGATGATGGCGCTTGTTCTATGCATCGGCGAATTGGTGGTAGTCGTGTATAGCTCCCACTACGTCGCCGCCACGGTGCCCTTCCTGATCGGGCTGTTGTATCTGGTGCAGACCTTCTATCTCAAGACCTCGCGACAACTGCGGATCCTCGAGATCGAAGCCCGGGCGCCTCTGCTGTCCCATTTCATAGAAACCCTGCAAGGCCTGAGCAGTATCCGTGCATTTGGCTGGACACGGTCATATACCGGGCAGAATGATCGGCTGCTCGGGACCGCCCAGCAGTCGTTATATCTGCTCTACTGTGCTCAGCTGTGGCTCACGCTCGTCTTAGATATGATTGTGGCGGTCTTAGCCATCATTCTGGTCAGCATTGCGGTCACGACCCGGACGTCGACGGGTGCATCCATTGGTCTGGCGCTGGTCAATGTGGTGGCGTTCGGCGCCAATCTGAAGGGCCTCGTGTACAACTGGACCGCCTTGGAGATCGCCATGGGTGCCATTGCCCGCATCCGAGATTTCACCTCGAACACCCCGTCTGAAGAACGACCGGGTTCAAGGGCGTCTCCGCCCCCGGATTGGCCGCAGCAAGGCCTCATCAGGTTCCATGACGTCTCAGCAGCTTATAAGTGAGCGATCAGTTGAGATTCGGGCTCCCAAGTAAAGACTAACTCTTTCTTGGCAGCTCTGAGTCCCCACCCGTGCTGAAGAATGTCTCTCTAGAAGTTCAGCCGGGACAGAAACTCGCGATTTGCGGCCGAACTGGCAGGTACGCATCCTTGTGCTGAGCATTAACACCATCTGGACCG